GAGACTCCAGTGTCCAGTTTCTGCCAGAAGCCCCTAAGTCTTGCTGGACCCTCTGCCTCTCAGGTAGTCAGAGCTAATCTACATTAATTATAAAAGAAGTGAAATGAAAAAGAAAAATCAAGGCAAAGGAAAGAGAAGAAAACCATGCTGAATTCGGAGGTGGCTTTCAAGGTGACTTACACACAAGTCTCTGAGACTGAAGATAATTCAACCGTGTTCACATTCCTAAAACCTCCGGATTAAGATTTGATATCTGTGACTGCCAGTTCTACACACAAGGACAATCCTTCCACCATTAAATGAAAAACAATTAGGGCCAGGCATTTAGCTCAGTGGTTCCAGTGCCTGCCTCACAAGCACAAGGACCTGAGTTTGATCCCTGGTACAAAAAGAAAATAATATTTTTTTTTTTTTTTTTTTTTTTTTTTTTTTTTTTTTGGTACCGGGGATCAAACTCGAGTCCTTGGGCTTGAAAGGCAGGTGGCGGAACCTCTGAGCCACCCAGCCCTCCTCTTCCTTGTTTGAATCTAGGTTTATTTTTAACTGAATAGAAAAGGGAACAAAAGTTTGGTTTTTGTTTTTACTCCTTGATCCTGAGACTATGAAGACAACCTAGAATGGAGAGAAAGCAGGTCTCTTACACTTGAAATACAGAAGCAACAATACACCCAACGACATCCACACGGCAAAGGAGTCCTTCAGCTGACATCAGGGTGTGAGGACCGTAGTCCAGCTCTTTTCTAGCCTTTTATCCTTACAGATTTTACCACATGAAACTTTATCACTTAGTGATGGAGTTGGTTCAAACTGTGCAGAAATAGGAGATGAAGTGATTATCCCAATTTTCACTTGCAAATATATTTTCAATGAAGGTGCCAATACGCAGCAGTTGAGGCCACCTTTTTTTTTGTTTGTTTTTTGAGACAGGGGCTCCCTACGTATTTGAGACTGACCTGGAACTATGTAGCCCAAGCTGGTCTCGAACTCACAGCGATCCTCCTGCCTCAGCCTCCCAAGTGCTGGGATTACAGGTGTGCGCCACCATGCCCAGCCGAGGACACCTTTGAGTTAGATGTTCCAGGTATATAGGCCAAAATAATTTTCTTGTAACTTGCCAAAGATGGAGTATATTAACCAATTTGGGTGTTAATTCCTTTAGGTACCTCTCCTTGAATTTGAAGCTACAAAGGTGCTTGTAATTAGTTATGGAAAAGCATTTCAGGAAGACAAATATCTCCCAAACAGCAACATATGGCTGCTTAGTATTTTGACAATGAGCTAAGGGAATAGAATATGAGAAAATGAAAAAAATGGAAAGTCTTTGTGGATAGGGCGGGGTGGAGGGATTGAAAGGAGGGCAGGGGAATGGGGAAAAAATAAGAACCAAGATGGATTTTGTAAAGGTGCAAATTTCTAATGATGAATCTCACTATATTGTATACCTTAAATGTGCCAATTAATTTAAAAAATAAAAAATAATGCAGAAACAAAACCGTAACTATTAGCAGATGGTATGATTGTTTCCATAGATTCTAAACACTAACGGCTAAGTTTAATAAAACATTTAACAGGGACACAGGATGCAAGGTTCATGGGCAAAAAAAAAAATCAATTGTATTCTTATAGACTAGCAAGAAATAATCAAAAATTAAAATGTTAAAACCCTATTCACAATAACTCCAAAAGAATTAGATGGATACTTAGAAAAATATCTAACTAAAGGCATCCAAGTCTTCTACGCTAAGAATTTTAAAACTCTGTTGAAGGAAATTAAGATCTAAATAAAGCATCTGCTTAATGGATTAGAATATTAAATTTTAAGATAGTAATCTTCCCCAAAATGATAAACACAGTTGATACAATACCAACAACAATCCCAAGGCATGTTGGGCTCACTGGCTCATGCGCAGAACCCCAGCTCTTGGGAGGCTGTTTCCAGTTGTATGTTTAACTTGTAAGAGTCTTCCAAATTCTTTTCCAAAGCACTGTCTCATATTCTTTCCAACAGGGTACACTTCCAATTGCTCTATGTCTTTTTTCAACACTTGGTATTCAGTTTCTTTAAAAATGTTAGCCCATCTAATATGTTGTGTGTTTGTATTTTAATTGGCTTACATTTGTGATACATAATAATTGTTCATTTTGGAAACTGGTACACATATATGACACTGTGGTCATTTTCAGTGCCCTCTCCTCCTTCTCAACCTTGCCCACCCCCATTCCCCATGTTTTGTTGTTTTTCTTTTTCTTTCTTTTTAGTATCAGGGATTGAACTCGGGACCTTGTGCTTTTGAGGCAGGTAGCAGAACCACTGAGCTAAATCCTTGGCCCTTCCCCTTGTATGTATTTTTGAACACATTTATTGAGATATAGTTCACATACCGTAGTTCCAACTATAGTGTAGAATTCATTCTTAATATTCTATTAGGTACAACTGTCACCACAATTTTAAAACCTTTCCAACAACTGAAACAGGAATTCCATATTTTTAGCTATCATCACCCAAACTCCCACTCCTAAGCCCACACTCTAGCCCTAAGCAACCACTAATCTATCTCTATGGATGTCCCTGCTCTGGACATTTCGTACAGATGGGATCACATGATATTTGGTCTTTGTGACTGGCCTCTTTTATTCAGCATAATGCATTCAAGGGTCACGTTTTAGCATTTTTTCCTTTTATGCCTGAATACCATCCCATGAATGTATACACATTTATTTGTTTGGATATACTGTTCATGTCAGAAAATTAAAATTCTTGACATTGTCCACATTTTCAGTCCCACTGCCAGTGAATCACAGTCCAAACAATTCAACCTTCTATAATGGTGATGGCAAGCCTTTTGGGGCTTTCAGTGATAGTCTGCTGCAGCACACATGCCATAGGTTCACCACAGCTGCTCTGTAACAGTCTCAGAGTGATGCACTATTTTATCTCTTCCATTACTTACTCCACTTACTTCAATATGCATTAAGGATTTCTGATCTATTGCAAGATCTTCACAACAGGTCTGAGCTCTTCTTCCCTTGCCCGCTCTATTCTTTAAAGAAGCATATCCCACATATACTATCTATTTTTAAATGTAAACCTGATCACATATCCCTTTTTCTCAAAATCCATTCATCTTTATGGTTGTGAAGGAAACATGCCTGTCTCTCCTTAGTGTGCTGACCCAAGTGAACTTCTACTCACTCTGCTACTCAGGCTAAATTTCTCTGGTTGCTCAAACGTGAAAATTTTTTATTATATCAACAATAAACATGTAACAAAGTACTTAATGTCAGCCTTTCCCACTGTACTATCAAGTCCTGAGAGGAGTCTGTTTTGTTCCCAGACAAGTATTCTTTAAAACTGTCATTTTACTCTAGGTGCATTTTTACTTCATCTTGAAAAATAATTATGATAATTAAGAGTTATACTGGGTTTGGTGTGTGGCCCAGTGGTAGAGTACTTCCCCAGGCCAGACGGTGCAAGACCCTGGGGTTCAAGCCCTGGAACTTTTTTAAAAAAAATTAATTTTCACTAAGAAAGCAGCTTTAGGAAGTAACTATTATTGTCTGTCCATTTTACAACTTATTTTCCAAGTAAACTTTAAAACAAAGATGTGATTCATCAGTTACCTTACATATGATAGCTTCTACCAACCCAAGGTTTTTCTGGGTTTTGTTTCTTTGTTTGCTTTTTGAGACAGAGACTCCCTGTGTAGTCCATGTACCCCACTATGTACCCCAGGCTGGTCTCAATCTCATGGCAATCCTCCTGCCTTAGCCTCCTGAATGCTGGGATAACAAGTGTGTGACATCATGCCTGACTGCATAACTCAATTTTATCAAGATTCTATTAATTCATCAACATTTAGTCAAGAAGACTGACCATGTTTTGGTTAAATTAGAAGTTGTAGGGCCACAGATTTAGCTCAGTATAGCACTGTGTCTACCTTGCAAGCACAAGGTCCTCAGTTCCTCAGTACAAAAAAAAAAAAAAAAAAAAAA